GAACAGACAGAGAGACAGAGGTGCACTTTTGTTTCTAGACCTTATCCATTCAGTCAAGGGAAAAGAAAAGGGTATTTTTCGATAATAACGATATTGTATAGAGTTTGATCTAAGACTTTCGACGTCTAGAAATTCGAATCGCAAGACAGTTTCTCGAGTTTTCTGGACTTGCGACTATTGCTAAGGAAAGGGCGTTCTCGGAAAAACCATTTTATTCTACTATTGTAAGGACAAAATATAATATTGTTTGAACCATATGAAAGAAGACCCTTGCTAACTTGTAGATCTACCAAAAGAACACTATGCTTTACCTCTACAATGGTGAAAAAAAAACCGTTGCTAAAGTCTGATCGGCTAGGAGCTTCTTCTTCTCGCTCAATCGGACTTCATCAAGGGTCCTTTCCTCCATGATAAGGGCAAAACATCGTGTTCTCTGTGGCGCTTGCGGGATATAGATAGGTCCTCTTGTGCATGCCACTCAAACAAACCATCTTTTGGGTGGATAATAGAAAAGCAATTCCTTACTTTCGATCGAGACCAATCAGATTTTAGCAACGGCTTTCTCCACTATGGTAAGGACAAAATATGACGTTGTTCGAACTATATGAAATAGGGCCTCTCAAAGCTTTCGACTCAGTACAGAGAATACTATGTTTGGATACAAAAATAGTGAAAAAGCCTTTTCCGAAATTTGATGAGTTTAGAAGAAAAGCTCCCAGCTAATTAGATTTCAGCAGAGCTTTTCTTTACTCTAGTGCCGATAAAACATGGAGTTGGTCAAGCCAATCAGAGTATTAGTACCAATGCTATGTTAAATGGTTCGGATAATACAATGTTTTGCCCATAGTAGGTAATTGAAAACAGTGTGGGTTGTCTAACGCAATCAATTGAACTTAATTATGAGTGAAATAAGCGATTAACCAACAAATCTTAACAGTTAATAATTATGGTTAAGAAAAGGCATTGCATATTTGTTGTTAATTAAGTTGCTATAAGAAAATACTATACCTTTATCTGTAACTTTCTGAGCCCTATCTCGTATACCTTAGCTGTAACATTTGTAGGATTACTTTAGCATTATAGCTGCAACTTTGTAAGTTCTATCTGATAATTATGCCTATAGTTTCTCCGAGTTTACATAGGCGTCACAGCTGTAACCGTTGAAGTCCTACTTAAAAATAATACATATGACTGCTGTAGGTATAGGTGATGTCATATCCTCTATTGTCTGGACCCGTTCAAAGACCAGACCAGAGGTGGGTGTGGATGTAGGTGTACGTGTGCGTGTGAAATGTGGGTGTATGGGGTGTGTATTTTCATGGTATGGGCACTAACAATCACACCCATACCCATCCTCCACACCCATATCCACACGCACACCCACATCCCTAGACGAATGATTCAAGAAAAACAGCTATTCATGGTTTGTTCACAGTCATTTCATGACTAGTCGTATTACGGTTTGAACACAGTACCTTGTAGTTATATTTCGAATTATGTAACTATTCAGTCATGATATTTATGCATAACTAAACCATGTTAAGTAAAAGTTTCATGCATTTTTATTTCTGTCTTACAATTTTTTAATCTTTTATTATGGGCAAACCAAAAAGATATTTCGTGATCAAAAAATGACGGAATTTATGTGTAAAAATTACAAAATAAGATTAGTGCATCAAAGTCTCTTTCGTCACTGCCTTGAACTGAGCAGATTTCATCTGTACGTTATGAGATATTCACCATATGCACCAGCATCATGGTAAATCACAAATATATGTCCACCATTTGTAGTTGTATCAAATCCTTCAGGTGGTACTTTCATCGATGAATTACCAATACATGTTCTACCAATTAGAACACGAGCTAAGAACATAGTTCGTTCACTTGAGCCATCAGTATAATCATGGCTATATTTCGCATGCTCATGAAAATACACACCTTTGCCATACGCAACTCCTACAAGAATATGATGAGCATATTTTTAGTGATGCTTCGATTTTCAAAAAAAGTTACTCTTACCATGAACACCAGCAAATGCTCGATTAAAACATTCTTGTACAATTTTATACGCTGATGTACTCCGGCATCCATGGAAAAGCAATTTTTCACTAGAGCTATTATATTTCTGTATGAATTCATCACGATGGGCAGCATACTGTAAAGTTAGTTCAAATAAAGAGATTTTCTTTTAGCTAGATGAGAAATTCAAATATCCCTGTTTGTACCAACGTTCATTTTGAATGCGTTCAATTTTGACGATTATCAGATAAGAACCTTTCATTCTACTTTCAAATCTATCC